TGTGGGAGGCTGAGGCGGGTGGATCTCCTGAGGTCAGGAGTTCAAGACCAGCCTGGCCAGCATGGTGAAACCCCGTCTCTACTAAGAATAAAAAAATTAACTGGGCATGGTGACACACATCTGTAATCCCAGCTACTCGGGAGGCTGAGGCAGGAGAATCGCTTGAACCTGGGAGGTGGAGGTTGCGGTGAGCCAAGATCGCAACACTGCACTCCAGCCTGGGTGACAGAGCGAGACTCCGTCTCAAAAAAAAAAAAAAAAAATTTACTAAAAAGAATATGATATGCTATTAAAAATTGTTTTTTAAAAAGCTGGAAAAAATATGTGGTGAGTGTGAAGATATACTAGCATCTAAGTGTAGCTTTTCACATTTTGCCCTAATTCATTTTAGTTATTTTAAAAATCAGCTTGAGATATAATTTACATAAAATAAAATGTACCAATTTTAGGTGTTGGATGAACTTTGACAGATGTATATTCCCTTGTAATCACTATTGTAATCTGTATGTATGTATGGTTATAGTTTTTTATATGTGTGTACAGTTCTTGGCATATGTAATGATCACTATAATCAGAATATAGAACAGTTCCATAATCCCAACAACTTCCCTTTTTTTTTTTTTTGGCTTCTTTGTGGTCAGATCCTCTCTTCACCCCAAGCCTCTGGCAACTAATGCCTGTTCTCTGTCCTTGTAATTTTGCTTTTCCCAGAATGTCATATAAATGGAATCGTACAGAATGTAATCTTTTCAGACTGGCTTCTTTGCCTCAGCATAATGTCTTTGAATTTTATTCACGTTGTGTGTTTCATAGTTGCTGAGCACTCTTCTGTTGAATGGATGTCTACTGTTTATCCATTCACCCTCTGAGGGACATAAGAGTTTTTCCCAGGTTTTGGTAATTATTAATAAAGCTGCAGTAAACATTTATGTACAGGTTTTTTGTGTCAAGATAGGTTTTCATTTCTCTAAGATAAATACCCAGGAGTGGAATTGTTGAGTCACATGTTAAGTATAGCTTTTTTGTAAGAAATTGCCAAAGTATATCTAGAGTATCCGTGCCATTTTGCATTCCCATCAACAGAGTATGAGAACTCCATTTATTTTACATCAGTACTTGGTATTAACAATGTAAACAATTTATTTTACTAGGCATAGTGTGTCACATCTGTAATCCCAGCACTTTGGGAGGCCCAGGCGAGTGGATCATTTGAGGTCAGGAGTTCGAGACCAGCCTGGCCAACATGGTGAAACCTCGTCTCTATTAAAAAAAATACAAAAACTTAGCCGAGCGTGGTGGTGTGTGCCTGTAATCCCAGCTACTCAGGAGGCTGAGAAAAGAGAATCACTTGAACCAGGAAGACAGAAGTTGTAGTGAGCCAGGATCGCGCCAAGCCTGGGCAACAGAGCAAGACTCTGTCTCCCACCCGCGCCCCCCGCCAAAAAAAAATTAGCCATTCTAGTAGGTGTGTACGGTATCTCATTTTTTGTAGGGACAGGGTCTTGATTCTTTTTTTATACCTGTTTCTCCACTCAGACTTTCTATCTTTCCATTCATTTCAAGATTGTTGTCTTATGTCTTAGTACATGATTTTGCATGTTGCAAACATTTTAGTCACTTGACTTTAAAAGTTTCACATTTTAGCCGGGCGCGGTGGCTCAAGCCTGTAATCCCAGCACTTTGGGAGGCCAAGACGGGTGGATCACGAGGTTAGGAGATCGAGACCATCCTGGCTAACGCGGTGAAACCCCGTCTCTACTAAAAAATACAAAAAACTAGCCGGGTGAGTTGGCGGGCGCCTGTAGTCCCAGCTATTCGGGAGGCTGAGGCAGGAGAATGGCGTAAACCCGGGAGGCGGAGCTTGCAGTGAGCTGAGATCCGGCCACTGCACTCCAGCCTGGGCGACAGAGCAAGACTCCGTCTCAAAAAAAAAAAAAAACAAAACAACAAAAAAAAAGTTTCACATTTTGAGGCTGGGCGTGGTGACTCATACCTGTAATCCCAGCACTCTGGGAGGCCAAGGTGGGTGAATCACCTGAGGTCAGGATTTGAGACCAGCCTGGCCAACATGGTGAAACCCCGTCTCTACTAAAAGTACAAAAATTAGCCGGGCATGGTGGCACATGCCTGTAATCCCAGCTACTTGGGAGGCTGAGGCAGGAGAATGGCTTGAATCCGGGAGGTAGAGGTTGCAGTGAGCCAAGATTACGCCATTGCACTCCAGCCTGGGTGACAGTGTGAGACTCCGTCTCAAAAAAAACCACAACAGTTTCACATTTTGAAATCGTCAAATTCATTTATTTTCTTCTTCCAAAAACCTATGAGATTGATTTTATTATCCCTGTTTTAAAGTTGAGGAAACTGAGGCTCAAAGAAGTAGCATGTCTAGTTTGCATCATAAAAGAGAGTTAAGATAGGACTTAGTATTGTCTCCAAAGCCACTAATCTTTCTGCCTTACCATTGAGAACTGAGCTTGAACAGTGACTTTGAGAATGGAAAGAGAACAACAGATGCACGAACTATAGCATGGACAGGCACACTGCATTTAGTAAATATCATCAGCACTCGCTTCACAATTCAGAGTCTCAATAAAAGATTGCATTTATCTATTACTACTTTATTTTTATTATTTATAGGAAATTTATATGGTACAAATGTACAGTGTACTTCTAGATGCATACTATCATATCAAGTAAATAATTACGTATTCATATCCCCTGCCCTTTTAAAAAATAGTAACCTATCTATATAATGTTCCATAGTATAGTGTTTTTATTTAACAATGTATCTCGGACATAATTTCCTATGAGTGCACAATGTGGTCTCTCATTCTTGTTTATGGTTCTATCATATTCTATTGAGTTGACATACTATAATTTACTTAACCATGGACAAATTGACTTTTAATAATTCACATTAACCATAGACTAGTAGACTATTTGACTTTAAAAACTTTAAAAAATGAGGCCAAGTGTGATGGCTTGCACCTATAATCCCAGCAAGTTGGGAGGCTTAGGTGAGGATTCCTTGAGCCCAGGAGTTTGAGGCTGCAGTAAACTGTGATTATACCACTTCATTCCAACCTGGGTGATACAGCAAGATCTCATCTTTAAAAAATAATAATAATAAAAAAAAACTTCAAAAGGAGTGTAACATGCGTGCAGGCCTACCCACAAATCGTATGTGAACAGTTTAATGAATTATCAAAAAAGGAGCATAACCTATAACCATCACCAAAGCCAAGACATGGGACATTATCAGTGCCCCAGAAGTTTGCTTTGTGGCTCATTCCACGCACTAAGCACTTTTCCTCCCCAAAGGTAACCATCATCCTGGACTAATTTAAAGTCCCTTCCTAGCTTGTGTTTCTGTCCCTCTCTTTGTAACAGGGAAAAGAGAGGAATTTTTTTCCTCGCAAAGGCAGAGACTTAAAAATATGTGAAACAGAGAGGGAGAACCTGGGGATGTTGGTAGGATTTTGGAGAACATTTAACTATTTAAACATGGTGATAGAAACATACTAGGAATTGCTTTACTGTGTAGGCTAATATCTGTTCTTGAAGTTAAGTTAGACTGCACAGAAAAGTTTACTGGATGAACCAAACCAAAAAAGTCGGGAATTTTCTCTATAGGCAGTGAGGTTGAATTGACAGATCATAGTTACTGGAGTCAGACAGCAGGATAGGAATCCCAGCCCTTCCCCTACTAGCGTGATCTTTGATCATGTATATAGTGGAGACAGTACTTTTGCAGTGTTACTATAAGAATTGAGATATTGTATGTAAATTTTCTGGCTAGGTGCTTGTTTACATAGTAGGTTCTCAGTAAATATGCTTTTTCTTACTATATTCTTTTTCCCCCCAACTTTTTATTGTGACAGATTTCAAGTGTATGAAAAGTTGCAAAACAGCACAGTGAACAACCATGTATATTCATCTAGATTCATCATTAATGTTTTCTATATTTGCTTTATCTTTTTTTTTCCTGTCTCTGCTCATTTGAGTTAATTGCAGACGTCATGACACAGCACTCTTAAGTACATTAGCATGTGTCTCTTTCTTAGGACATTTTCCTGTAAAATCATAATATTATTACCTAATAAAAAGTTGTTATTCAAGTTTCCCCAGGTATCATCATATGGTTGTTTTTGTAAAGAATTCAAGATTTTATTGTACTTAGTAGTTGTGCCTCTTCAATCTCCGTTTATTTAGAAGAGTTTACCAAACATTTTTGCCTTAGGATTGTCATTAAGATTTTTGAAGAGTTCAGTTCTGTTGTTTTGCAGAATGTTTTTCAACTTAGATTTATCTGGTAGAGTCCTCTTGATTAGGTAACAGGTTAAAGGTTATAGACAGAAGCACTTGAGATGGAATTGTTTGCTCTCAGTGATTTATTTCAGGAGGAAAATGGTGTTAGTTTATCCCTTCAATGGTGATAAGAGATGAATTTTTTTGGTTAAGATGGTGTTCGCAAGTTTTCTAAATTGTAAGGGTACCTTTTCCTGTTGTAATTAATAAGCCATTTGTGGGGTAATAAGTCTGAGACTGTCTGAATATTATGTTCTGTAGTGATCTTTCATCTAATGCTTTTAGTGTTGCTGATTCTTACCTGAATCAATCATTACTATGGAGGTTGTACAATAGTGATTTTCTGTTCCTCGTATTCTACATTTATTAACTGGATTTCTTTTGAGATTCTCCTCTTCTTTTCCTTTTCTTCTTATTATCAGTGTGGAGTTTTGAATTCTTTCTTTATTCAGTCATTATTCATTTTCATTCATTATTCATTCTTGTCATTATTCATTTTAATGCTCAAATTGTACTGACTTTGGCTAGTGGGAACTGCTTAATTCTTCTGGGTTAGTAGAATGGTAGTAAAAACAAGCTTTCTCTAGTATTTAACATTTGAATCAGTTTTGTAGCCTCGTAATCTATAGGACTAATGTATGTGCTATCTGTCTATTGTTTGCTTTTGATGACCCTTCTGTGATATTTTTCAGCAAATCACTGAATTGAAGAAAGAAAACTTTAACCTAAAGCTGCGCATCTATTTCCTTGAGGAAAGAATGCAACAGGAATTTCATGGCCCCACCGAACATATCTACAAAACTGTGAGTGGCCCGCTTCTCATTGCTGTCCCTTGTGTTTTTTCTCATTGTCATTTCAAGCAGAAATTTGATTAATATTTGATCTCAGAGTTAGCAGGAATAGAGATGCTTTCATTTAATCTCAATTGATTATGGGGAGCATGAAGATATCAGGATGACTTTAATATTAAGCAAAGGGGTACATGATTAATTTTAAGGAAGTCTTTCACTCTCTTTTAAAAATCAGAATTTGGATTCACTCATTTTTACCTCAATTAAGTTTTTATAATTATGTGTTCTTTAGAAACAGGCAGTGGAATGGTGGAATGGTTTTGGAGTTGAATTCTGTTACCAGCTGACTTGTGTAACTTAGGCAAGTCACTTTAGCTCTTGGGGCTTGCTTCCAGAATTAAGTGATAATCCCTTTGTCATAGGGTTATTTGTGTGAATTAAAATGAGAAGACAGATGAAAAGCTCCAGCACACAGTCAGTTGACAATTATCGTCTTCCTGAGGCTTCGTTTGGCAGCCCAAAGTTAGGATTGTCAGTATTTCTGTGATAGGACTCTTCTGTATTCCTGTGTGCCTGCCTGTAACTGTCAGAAGAAAAGGCTATCCTCATTTGAAGTCTTGACCTGGAGGTCTTTGTCTGAAAACAAACCTTGGTTCTGAAAACTGAAAAAAGAACTTGGCTTTCTTGAAAAGGCTTGAGTACAAACAGTATTTCAGTGCCTGTTTCTTGGCTTTTTCTAGTAGATTAGCCCTTGGCCTGGGAATTATTCTGACTTTTCTCCTCTGAAGTTTGTATCAGTGGAAACTTTTGAAGGAGGAAAAAGAACTCTCCTTGAGTTTCAGCAGATGAACTTAAATTGACTTGTCTTGAAGAGGGATTGTGCTGTACTTCTGAGCCTTTTCAAGAATTGAAAAGCTTCTTTGTCCCCTATGAGAGTTTTTTTCTTCACTCTGGGGGTGGAAAGACAATGAGGATGTCCCCTTTTCTGGAAGGGAGTGGTGATGCAATCACAATTTTAGAGGAAAACCAATAGCCTAAAGCAGTTTATATGTGAGTATGGTGGTCATGCCTCTCAGAACCTCTTGGGTGATAGGAATACAAAACGTGCCAGTTGTCAACTCTATCAGGCACTGTCTTCGGCATCTGTACATTTGCATCTTATTGTAATTCTCATGACAGTCCTATGCCATGGAGTTCATCTTCATCTTATAGGGGAAGAAACTGAGACTTATAGAAGATGAATAACCCACCTGATGTCATATAGCTACTATGTGAGGTGGATTTTGAGCCTAGGTCTTCCAACCTCATTGTACCATACCACTTCAGCTGTCTGACTAGATGATTTCATGACCCCAAGTTTTTGGATAGGTGCACATGGTTTAGAATTCAAAAAGCCTAAGAGGTACACACTGAAAAGACTCTTCCATCCTTGTGTCCTGGTCCTCTAGATCTAATAAATATTGATTGCTTATGCAGAGGAATTTTATATATATATATTACAAGCAAGCGTGTGTTTGCGTGTGTGTGTATGTGTATAAACCCTCTTTTTACGTAAATGCAAGCATGTTCTGTTCTGCACCTTATATTTTTCACTTAATGATTTCTTTCTTTCTTTCCTTCCTTCCTTCCTTTCTTTTTTTCTTTTCTTTCTTTCCTTTCCCTTCTTTTCTTTCTTCACTTCCCTTTCCTTCCTTCCTTTTTTCTTTCTTTCCTTCCTTCCTTCCTTCTTTCCTTCTTTCCTTCTCTTTTCTCTTTTCTGTTTTCTTTTCTTTTCTTCCGATGGAGTCTCTGTCTGTTGCCCAGGCTGGAGTGCAGTGGCACAATCTTGGCTTACTGCAACCTCTGCCTCCCAGGTTCAAGTAATTCCTGTCTTCGGCCTCCTGATTAGCTGGGATTGCATGTGAATGCCAGCACGCCTGGCTAATTTTTGTATTTTTGGTAGAGATGGGGTTTCGCCACGTTCTCCAGGCTGGTCTTGAACTCCTGGCCTCAAGTGATCCACCTGCCTTGGCCTCTCAAAGTGCTTGGATTATAGGCGTGAGGCACTGCACCTCGCTTTACTTAATTATATCTTGGATATCTTTCTTTAAGAGTAGTTTAAGAATGAATTTCTTTATTCTTTTTGTTTTTGAGACAGTATCTCACTCTGTCACCGGGCTGGAGTGTAGTGGCATGATCATAGCTCACTACAACCTTGAACTCTTGGGCTCAAGGGATCCTCCCATCTCAGTCTCCTTAGTAGTTGGGACTACAGGCATGCACCACCACACCTGGCATTTTAAAATTTTTGCTTTTTATAGAGATGGGGTCTTGCTATGTTGCCCAAGGCTGGTCTTGAACTTCTAGCTTCAAGCCGTCCTCCTGTCTTGGCTTCCTAAAGTGTTGGGACTTACAGGTGTGAGCCACCACACTAAGCTGCCTTTTTTTTATAGTTTCATAATATTCCATTTTATGCTTTGAAGGTACCTTGACTTTTGGTTTGGAAATTACAATTATGTATATGAGTTTATAACTTGAGATATTGGACTTGAGAAAAATAGCCTGATGGACAAGTTAGTATTAATTCTTTTAAATATATTAAATTGGAGTGCCTGTTGGTTCATCACAAAGCGAAGCACTTAGAGTATATTATATCATTTCATAAATAGAAGCTCTCCACCCTTCTGAGAGCTGGAGAAAGAATCCTCTGTTTGAAGGATGTTTCTGCATTTTTCACAAAATCACAGTTGAAGACATTATACAATGTTACCCAGGGTCCTTTATGCAAAGATCTCTTTCTTCAAGAAAAAGTTCTGCCTCATAGATGACTTCTTTAGTTCTTGTTGTTTGACAGTGAAGAAGATAACCTATTTTAAGCCCTGTCTCCGAGGCTTTGCTCATTTAATCCTTAAAGCCCTCATGTCATGGGAGCTTTTATGTTTTGTTTTTGACACTTGAGGGATTGGAAAGGAGAAGCATTGCTTTGTCACCCTGTGGACTTATGTGTCTAAGGACAGTTATAATATTGTGCTTCTAGTTTTGTATTCCACGTTAGCATGTCTTGTTCACTTCAGTGTCTTCTGTGGTCGGTCCTTCACAGGTGCTTGGTAAGTTTCTGCGAAGTGAAGGAATGAATAAGTGAGTAGCCACTGACTCTGTGGTCTCCTCTTGTAGAGAGTAGAGACAGAATTTAAACCCATGTCCTTTTGGTCACACACCCATGACCTTTCTGTCATGGCTGTACTTCTCAACCTGAAGTACTTGTTTCTCCAGGGCTGCTTGCCAGAAAGGAGGGAGGCATATCCTGTGAGATGGTAAATCTTACTGGAAATGATTTTTTTTTTTTCCAAGACAGAGTCTCGCTCTGTCACCTAGGCTGGAGTGCAGTGGTACTATCTTGGCTCACTGCAACCTCTGCCTCTTAGGTTCAGGCGATTCTTCTGCCTCAGCCTCCCAGATACCTGGGACTACAGGCATGCGCCACCACTCCTGGCTAATTTTTGTATTTTTAGTTGAGACGGTTTCGCTATGTTGGCCAGGCTGGTCTCGAACTCCTGACCTCCAGTGATCCGTCCGCCTCCCAAACTGCTAGGATTATAGGTGCGAACCGCTGTGCCTGGCCTGGAAATATTTTTGTTTAAATAATACACATGTGGCTGGATGCGGTAGCTCACACCTGTAATCCCAGCACTTTGAGAGGCCAAGGCGGGCAGATCACTTGAGGTCAGGAGTTCAAGACCAGCCTGGCCAACATGGTGAAACCCCATCTCAACTAAAAATACAAAAAATTAGCCGGGTGTGGTGGCAGGTGCCTACTATAATCCTAGCTACTCGGAGGCTGAGGCAGGAGGATCACTTGAACCTGGGAGGTGGAGGTTGCAGTGAGCTGAGATCGCACCACTGCACTCCAGCCTGGATGACAAGAGCAAGACTTCATCTCAAAAAAACGAAAAGTGAAAAACACATGTATTATGGAGTACAACATAAAATTGGCATGGATTATTAAAATAAAAGAGGAGCTGTAAACCCAGTGCTTTGGGAGGCTGAAGCAGGAGTATCATTTGAAGCCAGAAGTTCAAGATCAGCCGGGGCAATATGGCAAGACCCCATCTGTAAAAACAAAACAAAACAGAACAAAAAAACAGGCAAGGGAGTGCACGCCTATAGTCCCAGCTACTCAGGAGGTTGAGGTGGGAGGATCCCTCAAGCCCAGGAGTTTGAGGCCTGCAGTGAGCTATGATAGCACCACTGCACTTCAGGCTGGGCAACAGCAGAGCAAGACTCTGCCTCTAAATTAATAAACAAAAAACCAAAGGGAGATTTCCAAGAAATTGTAGATTTACAGCAGTCTTCCACAAACTATGCACCCAAACCCCCATCTACTACATGAATTCATCTGATATTCTGTCTGGGATACATTTGTGCATAAGTTTTAGAAGCCTGCCACTGTTCCACTGTCTCATATTGAATTCCATTTGCCCTGGATTCTGTCTTGGATTCTCACGTGAGTTGTAAGCCCAAGGCTGTGTCCCTTTGTTCCACTCAGTTAAGAGGAAGACATTTGGTTGGAGAACATTGTGGTTCTCCTTATAGACAGCTTGCCCCATGTGGTTGTAGCTTTTTTTTGTAAGTGAGAACCCTGAAATCTTATATTGAAATGACACATGCCATGATGTGTCCTCCTGTTTTCCATCCACATGTTTTATTTTATTTTTTTAAGCTGTAACACATTCCCACTGCTACAGCCACCACATGTGTGATTGTAAACAACCACCAGTAATTGCTTTGGAATGGGAAGAACACACCGCAGAATTGCTTGTAAATTTGCTTGGCGGAGGGCATACAATTTTTAAATAAGCCTTCCTTGTATGACATTTATGCCTTGATATTTGAATGCTCTGGCTGTTAGGAGCTTGGAGCATTTACATAATTGCTCCAAGTCTCGTGAAATCCAGGTCTTTCTTTTGAGACCACCAGTGTTTAATAATTCCCTTTTCCCTGTGCCCTGAGGCTAATGAGGGTTTTTGAATCTAACATCTGCCTATTACAAGCATCCTGTAGTCAGTCTGTGCTGGAAGCAGTTTCCCCATTGTTGACATTCATAGGTCCTGTATTTTACGTTGTTTCTTTTCTTTCTTAATCTTGTCTTGTAGAACATTGAGCTCAAGGTGGAAGTAGAAAGTCTGAAGCGGGAACTCCAGGAGAGAGAGCGGCTGCTCATCAAAGCCTCGTGAGTACCGTCATCTTTCGAAAGCCTGCAAGTCGCCCACACTGGGTTGGTCAGTGAAATAGAGCCATCCACTTTTCTAAGACAATTGATTTCCGTCTGGAGTCTGAGGACTCCAAAGAGGTTTTTGTTTTTACTTAATTATTTACTTTTCAGCAAGCTTTTAAGATATACCGTGATTATAGAAAAATGAACAGATCTTAAGTGTACAGCGTGAATGTTCACAAGCAAACACACCCGTGGAACTACCATCCAGATCAGGAAAGAGAACATACCAGCCCCCGCAAAAGCCCTCTTTGTGGTCTCAGAACTCACCTTTCTCCCCTAAAGATAACTACCGTTCTGACCACTGTTAGTTCTGCCTGCTTTTAAACTGTATATACAAGGAATTATATAGTAGGTTTTCTTTTGTGTCTGGCTTGTTTCCTCAACAATGTATTTGTGAGATTGATCTGTGTTGTTAATTATATCAGTAGTTCATTCTTATTGTTGTAAAAGCCTGGGGTGATTTGAAGGGGTCCTGGTGGGTGAGGCAGGGAGACAGAGGATGGGGCTTCAGCCAGAGTAACTGTCTTTTTCTTTTTTTTCCTTTAATATCTGTTAAATGTACTAGGGACCCTCATAATATTTTGCTTGAAAGAGTTTCTACTCCTTAAAAAACATTTGAAAACTAGTATTTTCATTTATTCAAATATTGAACAACAAGCACAGTTCAGCAAATACAGTCTGTGACTCAGTTGATTATTCACTCATTCATAAACATTTATTACATAATAACTTGTGAAATACACAAGTATTTCGAATCTAACATCTGCCCAAAGATCTGAAAAGAGACAGCCCTCCACCCCTCTACTCGAAGAGCCCATCAGAGACTGGTGAGCTGTTCATCACACCTGTGAAAAGTAACATGCCAGGAAGGTACAGTGGTAGAGGGTGTTGTGGGTAAAGTGGCGACACCAAAGTGTGCTAAGTTTTGTTCTGTGACAGTGGAATAAGACTTCCCGGGGCTGCCTCACTGAGGATCCCAGCCAGAAGCTTATGTGGAAATGCTTCATTTGTTCTGACAGTAGAGTTCCTGCTGGGTGTGGTAGGCCAGGACCGTGGAGTTCTTGGTTTAGGGCACGGCTGCACTGCTCTGGGCCAGGCCAGTATAATTCCCTTCATTGCCACCGGGTCCAGCAGCTGGAAGCTGGCCTGCTGTTGGCTTTCAGCAGACTACAGGATGCCAGGCGTAGGCTGCTTCTCCGGGTTATGCTGAACTTGCACACTTGGTATTTTCTGAGTGAATAAGTGAATGAAGTAATAAATATCACCAGATTAACAAGTTGTTGTTAATGTTGTTGTTGTTTTTTGAAGTACATTATTTTCTGGGCAGGGAGGCAAATCTACTTTATCAAACCTGAAGATCAGTAATGGAATTTGGTCTGTCTCATACTCAGTGCCCTGCCTGCTGCAGGTCTTGGCTTGGACTAGTTTTTAGTTAAGCTCATACACATGGCAACCTCAGCTCACAAAGGCTTGCATACCCTTCTCAATAGCAAAACATGGGATTGAGTATTTTGGAGGCTTGTGCACATCTTTATATGTGTATATTTCCCAAACGGCTCAGGCTTGTGTGGTCTGACTAGCTTTATTCATTTATTCAGAAATATGTATTAAGCGGCTCTTGTGTGCTGCAGTGGACTGGGTTCCTGGGGATGTAGTGGTGATGCAATCAGATGCATGAGGCTCACATTCTAGTGGGAGTGATGGTGATAAAATACTTGGAGTAATAAATATATAAACAAAAGTTGGGGAAAGAGCTATGAAGTAAAATAAAGAGAGCTATGAGAATTTATAGGTAGGGGAGTAAATATATATTATTATTATTTTTTGAGATGGAGTTTCACTCTGCCAGGCTGGAGTGCAGTGGCGTGATCTCAGCTCACTGCAACCCCCGCCTCCTGGGTCCAGGCGATTCTCCTGCCTCAGCCTCCCGAGTAGCTGGGATTACAGGCATGTGCCGCCATGCTCAGCTAACTTTCGTATTTTTAGTAGAGATGGGGTTTCACCATCTTGGCCAGGCTGGTCTTGAACCCCTGGCCTCACGTGATCCACCCATCTCAGCCTCTCAAAGTACGGGGATTACAGGGGTGAGCCGCTGCGCCCAGCCAGGTAGGGGAGTAAATATATAGATGTGGCTGTATAGCAGGAAAGGTGTCCCTGAGGAGGTGGCATTTGAAATGAGATCTGAAAGACAAGTAGGAATTAACAAGGTGAATGGGTAGAGAAACTGTTCAAAGAGAAGAGAATGTATAGGTCTGAGGGAATATGAGAAGTCTAGAACACTAGAGATTTTGGTCTTTATCCTAAAATCACGTGGAAAGCAGTCGTGGGTTTTAAGCGAGTGACACAATCAGAGTTCTGTTTTTGAAAAGGTCATTCTGGATGCTGGGTGGGAAGTGGATTGTGGAGAGAGCACGAGTGGAAGCTGGGAGACCAGTCAGGAAGCTAGTCCAGTGGTTGAGGTGAGAGGCGAGTGACAGAGTAGCTGGGTGAATCAGACATTTGGGAAGCAGAATCAACAGGCCTTGGTGATGGATGGGAAGGGAGATGTCATGGATGATTTCTGTCTGGGGTTAAGGTCATGAGCTCTGTTAAGAATGTTCGCAATGAACATTCTTAAACTGCTCCAGCTTCCTGTCTACCAGCTCTATCCCAGACACAGTTCATGGATGCTAAAATGTTCTTGCTTTTGCTGCTCTAACTCTGCTCCAGCAGACCTCCTCCCCTCTCATTTCCTCCCAGCCCAAATGCCTTCTATTGCTCAGCCCTTTGTAAAGCCTCAGATCTGGAACCATGCATGGCTTCCTCTAGCCTGCGTCCGTCTCTTAACGGACTTCGCTGGTACAGAATGATAATACTCTATGCATAACAGTTGTTAGTTTATAAAACACTTTCCATTTACATTCCATCATTGTTCTGGGAGCTGGGAAAGTCTTGAAGAATACCCTCATTTCATAGAGGAGAGACTATAGGCCAGGAAAAGGGAAGGGCCATGACTCCCAGCCGGGAAGGTCACATCTGCTATTAGAACTCAAGTCCCTGACTTCTAGTTCAGCACTAGGTTCTATGTTCTTTTTAAATTTTTGTATGTAGATAATTGTATATTGGTATATACACAATATCTATGTATCTGTTCAATGACAGTATCTACCATGGAACTGCTAGGTGTGCCTATCTCTAATTTTTTTTTTTGAGATGGAGTCTCGCTCTGTTGCCCAGGCTGGAGTGCAGTGGTACAATCTCGGCTCACTGCAACCCGGGTTCAAGCGATTCTTCTGCCTCAGCTTCCTGAGTAGCTGGGGCTACAGGCATACGCCACAATGCTTGGCAAATTTTTGTATTTTTAGTAGAGACAGGGTTTCACCATGTTGGCCAGACTGGTCTCAAACTCCTGACCTCAGGTAATCCACCCGCATTGGCCTCCCAAAGTTGCTGGGATTACAGGCGTGAGCCACCATGCCTGGTCGTGCTTTTCTCTTTAACCCTAGCTTTCTAGCACCCAGCAGTATGTCTATGGTAGATACTTGCTGATGGAAAATATCTATGTTAACATAATACCCTTGACTCCCCTTTTCAGTGTTATGATTTTTGGTGGGGCATGGGGACAGGGTATGACATCTGCCACGGGAAAAGCCCCTGCTTTTACCTGAAGAACCATAATTAGAATGAAAAGAATCCAGGGGAAATGTGGAGGATTGAAAGGGTAGTGAGGCTGGCATTTATAGAATCTGACTTTCTTGTATTGGGTGGAAAGCTAGATGAAACCAGTTTCTCTCAGCCCTTCCTCTCCTCAGGTCTTGCTGTCCACCTTGTGTGTTAGCCCTGATTCTGCAAGGAAAGAAAGGGTCGAGGGAGGGAGCTAACACTTATTGAGACGCAGACATCCTGCGTCTGGCACTTGACAGGCTTTATTGCATTTGGTCAATTATGTGGGCAGCCAGTATTCCCATTTGAGTGGAGAGAAAACCGAGGTTCGAGGAGTGGGGAAACGTGTAGCGGCTGCTCTGGCTTCAGAGCGCGCTGTGCCTTGCTGTGAAATAAACATTTGTTGGCTGGTTTTCCACTGTTATATTTATCAGTTACGATAAGGGGACATTAAAAACGAAAGCAGTCATATTGTTGCGAGTAAATTTTATCTCTGTAGCTTTAAAACACAAACAAAAATAATAATTCCATTAGTAGAGGAAAATTGTACCATACTACTGAGTATAAATTTTATTGCCACAGAAACTGTAAAACACAAAGATGATAAATGAAAAGTTGGAACATTTATTATTGGGAATATATTTTACTGGTATAACTCAAACTCAGACAAACTGAGTAATCATAGTACTTGTTAAAAATTATAGTCAGCTTCTTGACAATGTATGTGATTCAGACAGCAAAACACAAAGGTTAGACCTGGGCTGATAGGAGGGAGACAGCATATTTGCACTCTGGTAGGTAGGGTGGAGGGGTAAGGGAAAGGGGTAGCAGAGGCGATCTCTTTTATAGAGGAGGCTCTGTAAAGCCCAGGCCTCAAACCTTGGTGAGCAGGTAGCAGAAATTCATTGCTGGAGAAATCCTGTATCCAAGGCCTGGGAAGGCAGGGCTTCTCGTCCAGAATTCTTTCGGCCGTGTATAATGCTCCTCAAGGAGTGATAGAAATGATTGTGAATCACTGTGAATTCAAGACAGCGATCCAAAAATGAGCCCCAGGAGTGGGGGGTGATGGCATTCAATGGCATGAATCAGGAAATGGAAATGGGCACCTTGGCTGTGGCCAGCAGAGACCCCAGCAGAGAGTAGAATGAGGCCTCTCACAGCAGCTCAGCAGGAGCCAGCACTGTGTGGGCCTCAGAGGCCAAGGGCTAGCGTGCAGAGCACTCCGATCAGAGAGGAACAGGCCTACATATGTGAGCACATTAATTCTGAGAGGTAATCATCTCATTTTTCACATGAGGAAACTGAGGTGTGAGAGGTAATTTAGTGAGGCTATATAATTCACCCAGAGTCACACTGAGGATATAATAGAGTAAAAATTTAGAAGCAGATCTGTGCAGCTTCAGAGCCCATGTTCTTTCTTTCCAGTTGTTCACATTGAATTCCATTAAAATGATATGACACTGGGGCCTTCTGAAGCTTTATTGGTGAAAAGAAAAAAGATACTAATAAAGTCTTTATTTTCAGGCGACTCATGTTTGAGACTTGGACAACAAGTATGGTCCTCTTGACTTTCCATTGTTCTCAGTAAAAAAATTCACATGGCTTGTACATGTGAGTATCTGATCACATGGCTCTCAGTTGGAAAAATTTTATATATCTTTAAAGTAGGGCATGGGAAGCTGGTGGTGAATAGATTTGTTCTGTTGCAGTTTTTCTGAGAAACCAGCCTTAGGTGGAAGCATTTCCTTTATTATTCTGCCTTCTGGAAACCTGCAATCATTTTAGAAATCTGATGAGGACTGCTCATACAGTCATGTCCGACACTGTTTATCTTCTGGCATCGGTGGTTGTAGTCCTGCGTCTGATTTGGGCGTGCCATTCCCACCACTGCCCGTCATGTGGAGAGAATATTCCATGGTGCTCTAGCAGTGCTTACTCTGTGTTTTATGTTAGAGTAACACAGAGTACAGGTTGCTTGTGTAACCTCCCCTCTTCATACCCTAAGTGGTAGGTAGTGTGTGAACAGATTGATCCTGATGCATTTAAAATGCTTTTCCCTTCAGTTGGCAGAAGATGAAGTATGCAGACCCTTACTCCCGCAGATTTATTTTCGTTGCATACTGCTCCTTTGCACGTTGGTTTGTCAGACCAGCTCTCTGCCCTCCTTGCACCACCGGTGGAAGTATACTTTGTTGGAAGCCCCCTGGTGGGAAATTTGGCAGTAGCTATCCAGAATCTTAGCAGTGGGCTTACCCTGTGACCCAGCTATTCCCTTTCTAGAAATCTGTTCTCAGAAAGTCACTGGATAGTAGACATACAAGGATGCTTTTATCATAACATTGCTTATTACAGTAAACAATTTCACCAACATTTATTGAATACTTACTTTGTACCAGGCACTGTTCTCAGAACTTTGTGAGTATCGTCGGATACAATGTGTTAAATGAGAAACAATTTAAATGTTTTAAAAATAGAGAATTGATTTAGTAAACTATAGTACATTTCATACATTGAGTTAATATACAGCCTTTAAAAATGATGATATAGACTTTATTGACACAAAAGGATGTTTATGGTATATTAAGTAACAAAATCAATTCACTGATGTGTACCAAATGGTTCTTTTTTGTAGAAAACGTCTGAAAGGCTATATGCTAAAATGTTGACTTAGTTATCCTGAGTGACAAGATTATGGATGATTCTTACTTTTTTCTTATTTGCGTTTTTGAATGATAAATATTAAGCTAAAGAAAAAGAAGCTCAGCACAGGTCTGTGGGAGAAATGACTAACAAATATTCCTTGTCTCTCTGGGGCTGTGAAATGGCCATCAGACTATCACCCTTGCATGTTTTACCGCGTGCCTCTTTTTGCAGCAAAGCAGTTGAGAGCTTAGCTGAAGCTGGTGGCTCTGAAATCCAGCGGGTAAAAGAAGATGCTCGAAAGAAGGTGCAGCAGGTGGAAGATCTCCTAACCAAAAGAATACTCCTTTTAGAAAAGGCAAGTCTGGAAATCCTGAGGGCAGTGTATTTCTTACAGTGGGTTAATAACAGGCGGGCACAGTTTCGTTTCTTTTTTCGTAAACCGTCAGTTTCAGGAGAAACAACAGCCACCCTTATTGAGCATCTCCTGGATTGTAGCCCCATTTCAGGCATTTTACATGTATAGTTTATAACACCTTTACCCTGCAAACTGGCCATTGTGGTCTTCATTTCTGTATAAGGTCACTGAAATACAGAGAGAAGTACTAACTCATTTAATAGGCCTAACCTAATACTAATAGGTTTAATCCTGGGTTTAACTATGCTGATTTTAAAGCCCATGCTCTTTCTACAGCAGCACTCTGCTTATTGTCTAGTTTAGCTCCATTATTTTAAAGATGTGGAAGCTGAAGGCCAGAGAAGGGAAATGACTTACCTCACATTAGTTAAGCCTGGAACCAGACTCTGACCTTTAGGCTACCACGTGTCCATCCAGCTCTGGTACCTGGTATCCGGCTTCCCTCCAACCATCCTGCCAGTGCTCATAGAATGTCTTTTCTCTATTAGGCACTGCATGTCACTTCTCCTTCTATTTATTCTCAGTTAGGTATTTCCTATCACTGTGATGGGAGTCAGGATGTTTCCTGGCTAAAAAATCCTGTCTCCTTATCTGTTTTAAGCTAGTATTAAGTAATACTATTTAATTCTTGGTCTTTGATATCTGTTGTTTTATCACAGTTTCTCTACCTGAAACTGGTTCTTTTTAGATATAGAGAGAAATGGCACCAGAAGCACTTCCGGATACAAAGAGCAGGCACTGTTTTTGCAGTTTACAATTTTCCATTTATGATGTTCACATCAGCCCTTAAATTGTCCTTTTGGGGAAATGTAGCTATTAGGCCCAAAATACCTGTGTTTTAAACAGGCTTGGAGAGGGTTAGAAACTTAGTATAGGTCAGAAGTGGTAGAACTAGAACCACAAGAAGGTTCTCCTGATCACAAATTCTGAATTTTAGCTAAAGTGTAATTATGAGATCTAACTTACTGGGTCATTTTTTTTCCCTGTAAGTGCTTTCCCGTGTGTTGGGGTGACAAATCTCTCCTCTGTCACTTACTAGCCTTGTCACCCAGGATAAGGTATTTGCTTACTCTGAGCCTCTGCTTCATCATCTGTAAAATAAGAACAGTGATACCTGGTTTGCAGCGGTAATTGTAATAATAACTGTAGTATTAACAATTTATTGTGGGCTTACCATTTCATTGTGTGAGACATCCTCCTAAGCTCTTTATAGACATGAAGGTAATCTTTTCAATAAACCTCTGTGAGGTGAATACTTCTGTCATCCTTTTTCTTTCTTTCTTTTTTTTTTTTAAACAGATGATGAAACAGGCACAGAGTAGCTAAGTCACTTGCTTAGGGGCACACAGGCAGTAAATATCAGGTAGTCTGGCTTCAGACCTGCATTCTAAACTGCTATACTCTACTGTCTCGGGATATAACTTTTTAGGGTTGGATGCAGATGGGAGATAATATGAATGAAGCTCCTTGCTCAGAGCCTGGCATTTAGTAAATAACAGGCTTTGTTGTTGTCTAAGAATATGATACATGATTTTTTTCAGCTTTCATTGAGAGTGACAGGAAGCCCTGTGAGGAGATAGTGGTAGGGGCGGCACTGTGGAGGGCAAGGGCAGGGAGGAGGGAGCCAACATTTTTTTCTGAGCTTCCTGTGATGGAACAAGCGTTTGACAGTGACTCACGACAGCTCTTTGATGGGACGGTGGTTATCCCTATTTTATCGATTGGGAAGCTCAGGCTCGGAGAGGTTTAACAACTACCTGAGATCACACAGCAAGTATGTGGGAGAGCTGGTTTTTGAACCCAATTCTCTTTGGTGTTTATCTTTGTGATGTAATTGGAGGCAGTTGGTGTGAGTAGTTGGAGATTCATATCTACTCCCAGGTCACTTTCATGAACACCAGGGCCTTTTTCCCTAACACAGGCACTGCCTGCATGATTTACATAATTTCCTCATTGGCTTCTCTGACCTCTTGGGAAGAACATACAGTTGTTTTTTTTTTTTGTACCACCTAAATCACCTTGGAGATATAGAAAATGTACTTTAGAATTGTTCAGTCATTATCTTAAAAAAATAGGGCGGTGGGGGTGTGTGGGATGAATTTGTATGGAAATTATGGTGACTCTTTGGAATTTATGTATGTTTAGTATTGAGAGGAGCATTTCTCCTTGTTCTTCTTGAAGCTGTAAATATTGATCTGATTTTTCAAAACCAAAAATACAGTTCTTACAGAGTTGAGTCTTTTCCATTGGAAATGCCTATTACGCTTCAGGATACAAGAGGGAAAAATGGCTGGCAAGTGTATTTATTACCGATTCTCTCCATGTATAGTACAATTCAGGGAGGGGAAATGTGCTGGAGAAAAAGTCATAAATATTTATATTTTAATCCAATTTCCTTTCAAAATGTTCCCAATTGTATTGAAAAATTGCATCAAATGCATTTAATTTAACTCTAGGATGTGAAAGCCGCCCAAGCAGAACTGGAAAAGGCCTTTGCAGGGACAGAAACGGAGAAGGCTCTTCGGTTGAGTTTGGAAAGCAAGCTTTCAGAGATGAAGAAGATGCACAAGGGGGACTTGGCAATGGCTCTGGTCCTGGATGAGAAAGACAGGTCTGGCTCTTGTCCCTGTCATACCCTGACATCACATTATCTGGCAGCGTGTTCCCTTTTCTTCCCTTTTATCCCTCCCTTCTCCCCGTGTTTCCCACAGGACTTGAGTGACTAACGGGAACAAGTCCAACACAGTTAGATAGAAAGAAAACTACGGAGAAAATCAGGAGGAAGAGAAAAGGAATAGCATAGTCATATGAGGTCAGAGATAGTCTACTGATAGACATTCATGCTGAAAAGTTCTACTCAGATACTAATGTTAGCATTTGATTTTGCCCGTAAGCTTCCTGGAAGTCAAAGGAAAAAGGGTAGAGACAAGATTCACATTGCAAATGAGGTAAAACAAGCTAGTAACTCAGGAGAAGTCCGGTTTTACTTGGCACAATCAGAGGAAATTTCTCTGGTGGTTCTTCCGAAAGTGAACAGTGAGTGACTGCCCCCACAAGAAATACCAGTGAATTCCATGTGACTTATTTTCCATCATATCTTTTAATGCAGCCCAAGGCAGAAATTAGTACAGGGCAAGGTGTCAAAAATAAAACCGTGTTGACCAAATACAGAGCTCTTTGATGATCCATGATAAAATGGATGCCTTCTAGTCTATTGGATAGTTGATATGGCCTTTAGGCAATCCTTTGTGCCCATCGTATTTTGCAACCAAACTTTTGGTAAAAACTTGTCAGGAGAAAGCTGATTTTATTGCTTACCATAAACCTTACATTTTGATACTCTTGCCTTATTTTGGCAGTCACTAAGTGGAAGGTTAACTAAATCTAAGTCCAACTGCTGGCTAACCTGTGACCTATCTGTTGAAGAGCTGAGCTTGGAATTTGATAGAAATTGTTCTAAAGCAAATGATCTGTTTCAGAGGATACTGACTGGCTCCGCTTTCTTGGTCATTTGGTGCCTGCCCCCTGCATTGACGAACACTACTGTGTTGTTTAGGTGCTTGGCCTAACTGCCTGGTTTCTCAACTGTTGTCTGCTTTTACTTCTGCCTTGGTACTACCTGTGGAGATTGGAGTCTGCTGCTTGGAAAATCAGATGAGCAAATCCTAATCCTTGGGATGGGATTATCTGTAAAAGAGAAGTAAATAGACCCAGAGGGAGAGCCCATGCCTCCATGTAAGTGCCCTAGCTTCAGCATTTGGAGGTGCGAGCATTTATTTGGTGCTCTGCGATCTTTTCTTAGCTTTGATCTGGAAAATGAGTTTTATGATTAATAATTTCAGGGTGAGTGAGGAAACTGGGTTCCCCATGGACCTCAGTGGAGTGAATATGTATCATCTCAGTTTACCCATTTGAGACCTTGTGTTTTTCTTGACTTCATGGCTAGGAAGAGAAACTTCCCTGGGATGTGCCCTCCTACTGAGCCTCCCCCCAGAGTACTGCCCTTTCCAGGCACCACCCATGGAGCCACTAGACTGAGAATTCCACAGAACCATTTCTGTGTTCCCTTGTATCTCTGCCAACCCATTAGCAGTGAAGCCCTTAGAAGGCTTATGGGTTTGTCTTCCTTGGGAGCTACAGGTCTGGAGCAGTTAAACTGGGAGTAGGGGACCCAGGGAATAGAATTTGTGAGCAGCCACCAAAGAAGAAATGACTGGCAGAATTCCTGGCGCCTGTGAAGGGGAAGGAGAGGGTTTGGGATAGGTTTGAAAAGAGGTCCTGGGACAGAGTGAATAGAAAAGGCCCTCTGAGGGGCCTGACAGATGCTGAGCAGTCAGTTCATTGGTTCTATTGGATCTTTATGCCTTTTGTTCGACAAATATTTCCTGAGCATCTTCCACTCAGCACAGTGGTGATGAGAATGTAAGAGGGAGTAATACAGCCTGGGTTCCTCTCCCCAGGAATCTCATTGTTTGAGTTGAAGCTTATCATCCAGCAGGGTGGGAGGGGTGGAGGGAGGAGCAAGATGATAAGGGCTAAGTAGGATCAATGCTGGGTTAACATATTTTGTCGAATTCAGTTTAGAGGGATTAGGAAAAGTTTCCTGGGAGAAGTACTGGGATGAGGAAGAACTACTTGGACAAAGAAAGGGAAGTAAAGGAACAGTGCGACTGAAAGTCCTGAGGCAAGAAGGAACACGGCAGGATCCAGGCACAGGAGGGTGCATAGCCTGGCCTGAGTGCTGTGTTCTGGAAAGGAGTAGGGAAGAGGTGAGGAGAGGGAAGCTGGGGGGTGACATGGACCTTATTGAAGAATTTGAGTTTTATCCTAAAGGCATACAAGAAGCCACCGAAGAGTTCAAGGTGAGGCTTCGGGGAATGACAAGATCAGATTTAAATTTAGAAAGGTCTTTCTGGCTGCCCTTAGGGAATGGATTGGTGCTGGGGCTGGGTAGAAGACTAGTTCTCAGGCTGATGCAGAAATCCAGGAAAGAGCTGATGGTGATCAAGGTGGAGGTGACAGAGCTGGGAATGGAGGAAAACAGGCTAGAAGGTAGGGTAGACATGATGGGCTTGAAGGACTTGGTGACTGATTGGATTTGGGGGATGAGGGGAACGGCTACAGTGACACACCCTTGCCCAGGTGTTTTTTTTTGTTGTTTTGTTTTGTTTTTTAAGATGGAGTCTTAACTCTGTCCTCCAGGCTGGAGTGCAGTGGTGTGATCTCGGCTCACTGCAACCTCTGCTTCCCAGGTTCAGGTGATTCTCTTACCTCAGCCTCCCGAGCAGCTGGGATTACAGTTGCCCGCCACCAAAAAAGCCTGGCTAATTTTTGTATTTTTAGTGGAGACAGGGTTTCACCATGTTGGCCAGGCTGGTCCTGAACTCCTGACCTCAGGTAATTTGCCAGCCTCCCAAAGTGCTGGGATTACAGGCATGAGCCACTGCGCCTGGCCCTTGCCCAGGTTTTGAGCATGAGCAGCTGTGGGGTGGTGCAGTTTATTGAATTTTGTTGAGGGGAAAGGAAAAAGAAGAAATGTTTTCGGGTGGAGGGAGAGGGAAGATGATACCTTCAGTTGGCACGTGTTGGGTTTGAGGGCCTGTGAGCCTCAGTGAGTGGAGTCTAGAATGTGGTTGGGTGTATGGATTAAAGCTTGAGTTAAAGGAAGTATAGATTCATTCCTTAACCAACCACTGAGTGTGGCCTTGGGAATGCGTGCTGGGAATGCAGGGCTGAACGTTCTCCTGCTTCTGTGGTGCTCTCAGTGTGGGAGGGGCTAGATGTTAAAAAAATATATGTCGTGATGGATGCTGTGATAAAGGTGAGCCCAGGGTTCTGTGCTGTGACAAAAGCAAGGTGTGATCAGCTCTGCCTGGGCGTGGGTTGGGGAGGGCTTGTCAGACAAGGAGTCCTGGGAGTTGGGTGAGGACGCTTTGCCAAGCAGCGAGAACAGCACGTAAAGGTAATGAGCCTGGCACATTTTAAGGTGATCCTAGAGGAGAGTGGTCCTCTTAGCATGTGCCACAGAAGCTTGATTGTTCATCTTTTTTGGAAGGGGGACTTTGGGAAGGGTTAACGTGTATCAAGTACTTACTGTGTTCTAGGTGGTGGAGTCTCCATGGATGTCGGATCAGGGCTTTGTTGAAGGCTGCATCTTCCTGGGATTTCCCAGAGGTCTGGCTGGACAGGCACTGAAACCCAATGTGTCAGTCCTGTGAATGCAACTGTCTCTCAGGGATAGCTGTGTCCCAGGCGCACTCCCAGAGACCAGTGCAGCAGTCGGATGCCAGCTCTGGATTTTTGCTCAGGTTGTGGCACTTTTTGTGGTGAAATTCTCCTGGTTGTAGGATCAGTATGTTCCCTCCCTGAAGGCAGTCCTGCCTAGGAAGCTAAGTCAAGGTCAAGTGGTTAGCAGGGAACTGGAGCCAGAGTCCTTGGTTTTGCCCTCATGAGATGGATCTAGATCTGCGACACAGATCGACTCACTGTTGGGCAGGGCAAGGTGTTGAATCTTTAGGGCCCAGGAACCCCTCACGTGGATGGATGGACTCCGCCAATATCTTTCTGGGGTCCCACCACCCTTTTTAAAGGTGCATGCTTTAGCTACTTTATTGCCTTCAATCTGGCCTTTGAGCTGCTCTGTGTCTTTAAGGCAGTTAATACTGGGAAGCCCTGCAGATCAAATATGCCAACAGATATGTTCTATTTGGCTTACAGTATTTTTTAAAGTGTGAATTAGTTGCCAATATGTAAAAAATTGAATTTCATGCAGAAGTCTGGATTTCCACCTTCTCTTTAAAACCTAGGAGATTGGCAGCCCTGGGTATCGTCTTGCTGGATTGAGGCTACCCCTCCCCTTAGATGGGCCTGGTGCTCCAGCTTGGCCACAGGAGTCCCCACCAGGCCTGCCTACTTTTTCTATTCCTTATCTAGAACTTGCTTTAAGGTAACTAAAAAAAAAAAAAAAAAAATTCAGTTTTATTGATGTAAAATTACATACAACACAGTGCTTCAATTTTAAGTATTTATAGTTTGGTGACTACCTCTCTCATTGATTATGTGATGATTTCAAAGTTGGGCCCCTAGAGGGCAATCTTACACCTCTTTCTAGGCTTAGCTGCAGAAAGGCTATTCTGAGGGTCTTCTGACGAAATGCTAATTGTTACATGTTTAAAAAAAAAGTAATAATTGTAGCAACTGTCATTTGTTGAGTTCCACCATATTCCAGGAGCAGTGCAAGATTGTTTTAAATAGTTTGTCTCCGGTCCACAATCCCAAGTCACCCCTATTTTGTAGCTGAGGAGGTACAGGCTCAGAGAGATTGAATTACTTGCCATGGCCAAGGGGCAGTTGATATGGGATAATTTGGTAATTATATTGTGTTATTTGATAACACAGCCCAGAGAGGGATATGTTCAGCTGTTCCTGACGGGGGGCACTAGGGGTGCAGGTAGCAAAACTTCCTGGAGGGGAGGTGATGCTTAATTAGCTCTGGCAGGATGAATGGGTGTTTGTCAGGTAGAGGTGGGGGTGAGGTGGGGGTGGGGTGGGAAAGGGCCTTTTAGCTAGAGGAATAGCATGAGCAAAGGCATAGAGGCATGAAACAGTCTGGCTTTGGGAGAGAACTGGAAGTGAGGCTACTGAGTGGAGATGGAGAGGGCGATGGTTTCCTGTGAGACTGAAGCTGTCGGCAGGGGCCTCTGATCTGGTAGGCTCTAAGACCTGGGACCTGGAATGCCTGGAAAGGAGTTTCACCTTTATCTTGAAAGTCAGTGTTTTTAAACTTTGCCCTGAGAAGCCTTGGCAAGACATTCCGTTTTTTCCACACTCACCTGAACAGCTCTGCTTCATTGGTTTTGTTTGCTTAGGTTTCAGTGACATTTCTTTTGGAGAGAGGACTTCTTGGCCAAAAAAATTAGTAGTCCACTGCTGTTGGTGGGAGCTGTTGAAGGTATTTGAATAGGATCACAGCTTGGTTAGAGTCTAGAAGCTCAGAGTTGAATTGACTGGAGGCAGGCAGGGGACCAGTTAATGTCACACGAATTCTGGCGCATCATCTCCTACCTGCAAAATGTGATTCTGTTTATGTTCAGCCATTGTATATGTCTACTTTGAAGATATCTGGCCCCATTTCCTTCCTCCTCCTGCTCCACTGAGCTAAGAGAACAGCTTAGAATTAATATTTAAATTTTGTTCTCTTTTAGACTGATTGAGGAGTTGAAGCTGTCTTTGAAGAGCAAAGAAGCTTTAATTCAGTGCCTTAAAGAGGAGAAATCTCAGATGGCATCTCCTGATGAGAATGTGTCATCTGGAGAGCTCCGAGGACTTTGTGCTGCTCCAAGGGAAGAAAAGGAGAGAGAAACTGAGGTGAGGCGACGGGACATGAAGAGGGGACTTTAATTAGCCAACCAGACTCCTCTGTGGGAGATGGAATGTGCATTCAGGCCTCATGGTTCATACATAGCCTGCTTCTAAATATGAGACCATTGTCAGCTGAGGAGTGAGCAGAAACTGCCTTTGTCAGGGGCCCTGACGTTCTTTTTCCTTTTCAGCCTCCTGCTCCTATAAAGAGTTGCTTAAAAAAAAACCAGTCCCTACCTGCTTGCCTCTGTTTTACCATGTGTTGATTTGTTGTTTCCTGGGGACTTTATTTTCATCCTTTGGGTTTTCTTAGGATACAGTTGTGGTGCATTGTTTTCCATCTTGCCTTTTGGTTAGAAGTAGGTGTGAGGCTAACTTTGGTCTGCAACTTGAGAGGTAGGGTGGGAAGGGGACTAACTTGTATCGGGCTTGGCAGCATGGGAGGGGTTCAGTATACCACCTCGTTCAATCCTCCCAGCCACCTGGCGTGGTAGAGCTCATGGTCTCCTTGTCAAGTTTAGAAACAGGCTCAGAGGAGTTGTTACATTTTTCCAGGTTCCAAGAGATGGGTTACTAGTAGCTGACCCCAAAGCCTCCCTGGACTCCTGTCCCCGCCCTAGGCGGCCTCCCCAGCAAGCTCTTTTGAAGAGGTTGGGCAGGCCAGGGAAGTGGAGGTAGGTCTTAGTCTAGGCCTTCCATTCTTGTTGGACCAAGAGTAGCTGCTGCATGTGGTATATTCACATTGGGGATGTTCTGGTTGTTCACAGAAAGTCTTGGTTTCTTCATGGAGCAGGGCCTGTGTTCCTACCACAGCAGTGAATGCGGTAGCCTTGCCAGTTCATTTTCATCTGTAATCCACAGTTGTTTCCTGCCCCTCCTCTTAACTCTCTTTCCCACTTCCGCGGCACGGCCCTCTAGTAGGCCTTCATCTTGTTCAGCAGCACCGTGGTTTACTCTCTGTGGGGCTGGTGATCAACCAGGGTAGGTTGTTGTCTTCACATTTTTCTTCATTCAAATCAGGTGGGGTTTTGGGTGGGGCGGAGAGAGGGAGGGGACACTTGTTTTAATGAGTTCCACAGTAGTGGGGGAAAGTGAGTAAGCGACAAGGACGTGCTCATTCTAATTGTTCTGGAGAAGCTGTTGGATTGCAGTGCCTTCTTGACACCAATTAATGCCTTTTCTTAGGCTGCACAAATGGAGCATCAGAAGGAGAGAAACAGCTTTGAAGAGAGGATCCAGGTATGTTGATATGGTTTTAAAAAATGTATTGAAGATTTAGTCTATTCTTGCCTCTTGTTTTATTGAGTGCAACAGATAATTCTGTGTCACAGTAGCTGTCATTCATTGAATGCTACTGTATGACAGTCGAGCATAAGGTACTCTAGAAAGGGTTTCTTAATCTTTGCAGTAACTCTGTGAAGTAGGCATTCCCATTTTATAGATGTGGTACCTGAGGCCCAGAGAGGTGAGGTCACTTGCTTAAGAGCACATAGCTAGGAAGAGGTAGAGCGAAGATTTGGACCTGCCCATGTGCCATGGTTCCTCTGTCACAGCAGGAGGCATTTGTGGAGTGCCTGCCAGCTTAGAAAGTGCTTTCACATCCATTATCCCATTTGATCCTCACAACAGCCCGAAAGGGAGGCGGTGGTGATTATCTTTAGAAATGAACTCAGACTATAAATGTATAGTTCAGTCTCCATCAAAAGGAATGAAATTAATGATCTGTTATTTCCCCCAAATAACCTGGTATGGTTTCAAAGACTCTGAGTGACTGTATTCAAATTCCAGAAGGCATTGGAATCCTTCCCATAGGAATAGCTGTCATCGTCTTAACTGATTTGATCCCCTTCCCTTCACCCAGCCCTGTTGCCGGGAGCGGTAACACAGTAACTTGGAGTTGATGCCACTATGTTCAGCTCCACTTGGAAACATTAATCACAGGTTGACAGGAATAAGATAGAATAACTGCATTTGAGTGTGCTCTTAAAGATATATTTACACTGCATTTTGGTTGGAACACATCAACTTAGTGAATCTTTTTCTAATCTAATTTAGGCACTTGAGGAGGACCTGAGAGAGAAGGAAAGAGAAATTGCTACAGAGAAGAAAAATAGTTTAAAGAGGGATAAAGCCATTCAGGGTTTAACCATGGCATTAAAATCAAAGGAAAAAAAGGTATGTCTGATACATTTGAAGTAAGATTTTTCTTTATTAGCTTCTATGACTGGCCTGTCCTACCCTGAATTTTTAGCTTTAGATAAAAAGTTTATAAGAGAGATGAGATAGTATAGAAAGTGGGGAAATAATCCTCTAGTCAACCGGGAATTCTTTTGGAGTGTCTACTCCAGTGCTGTTCAGTAGAAATATAATATGAGTTACATATGTGATTTAAAACTTTATAGTGGCCTCATTAAAAGAAGTAAAAAGAAACAAGTGAAATTAATTTTAATTATATCTATTTATCCCTCCAAACATAATCATTTCAACATGTAATCAATAAAAGTAATGAGATAGTCAACACTTTTTTTTCAGAACTGTTTGAAGTCTAGATATGTTTACAACACACCCTCAAATCAATCTAACCACATTTCACATGCCAGGAGCCACATGTGGCCAGTGACTGCCGCATTGGACAATGCAGGTCTAATCTTTTGAAGGATAACAGAAGAGTGAGATAAAGGAGTTTTGGGAGGCAAAGCCATGACTGTGAGTTGGTTAAAGAGCTACCTGAATGTTGCCTTTGTGATCCAAGGTGGTAGCTGATGGTTCTGTGCTGTTTTCTTGTCCTTACTATGGCAATCTGTTGTGTCCTAGTAACTATGCAAGGAACAGACACGGAGAAGAAAACCCAGCTCTGCTTGCAAGTCTATTGGGGAAGAAAGAGTGATGAGGGTTGTGATTGAGGGAAGTGTAGGGAGCTGGGGAGGCAGAGGGAAGGGGTCCTGATCCAGATTAGGTGTGGATGTCCGGTGTGTGGAGCAGTGGTTAGAGGAGGAGGTGCCTGAGCTGCATCTTAAAGGATCAGTAGGAGTTAGTTGGGAAGGAAGGCGGACAGGGGGAGAACACTGGTCAAGGCGTTTAGTTAGGAGAGACCCCATATGCACCACAGACAGTTTGGAGTTGTCAGAGCACAAAGTGTAAAACTTAAAGGAGGCGAGAGAAGAAGGTGAAGCTTTTTCAAGTGGCCAACCAGTGGGGGTTGGGGAAACTAATCATATTGAGCTGCTTGAGTGGCACTGAAGGCCACTGAAAACTCTTAAGCACATTTTCATTTTGGAGAGGTCTCTGGCTCTATCTGGAGAGTGAATTGCAGAGGGAGAGAATAGAGGCTGGGAGACCAGTAGCCTCGGTGAGAGCCAAGAAAGGCAGAATTAGAGCA